CAAGGAACAAAACCAAAACCAACTACAAAATCAGACACAAAAACTAAAGAAACTCAAATGAAACACTAGGGAGCAAAATACAAAAACAGAGGAGGCGGGATTCAAACACAGGACAGAAGGGTACACAGATAACCACATGCTCAACACATTGAGCCACATGACCAGACAGGTAACAGGGGAGAACAAAGACCAACATACAGAACGGGATGACCAGCAACACCTGCTGGCCAGACGGGGAAGGGACACGGTAGGACCACAGGAGCTGACACTGAAAATGACAGTTAAAAAATGACATTAGACGAGCTAAAAGGAATGTCGAAAGGAAGATCGCATTGGAAGTTAAGGATGACGTTAAAAGTTTCTTCCAGTATTTTAACTCTAAAAGAGCTCTAAAAGCTGAAATTACTAATCTGCAGGATAGTAAGGGTCTTATAATTGAAAACGACATTGATATAGTAAATGAGTTCAATGATAGTTTTGCATTGGTATTCACTGTTGAGGACACTAGTAACTTACCAGTTCTTATTACTAATCCAGCATCGTCTATAACTAATATATATACAGTGCCTGACAAAAGTCTTGTCACTTAACCAAGTTGTTGGAACAACAAATAATAACTTGACCTGTAGTTAATCAGTTGGAATCAGAAATGGCTTATAAGAAAGGCAAAGCCCTCTAGATTATGCTTATTATACCAAAATAAAGTTTTTCATCATTCATTGAGTTTTGTCATGTAATTAGGACAGAAAGGTCAACTTTTGCCTGGACAAAAGTCTTGTCATATACAAAAATAATGTAGAAATTATACATATACTTTATTTAGAATACACAAACATGCTACAATAACATCAGAACATAAAGTCATGGTGCTTTGGAAGAAAGAATTAATAACATGTATGACTTCCATGAGCTTGGAGGACCGCATCCATACGTCTTGGCAATGACTGAAATAACTTGTTGATGAAGTCATCTGGAATGGCAAAGAAAGCAGTCTTGCAGGACTCCCAGAGTTCGTCTAGATTCTTTGGTTTCGTCTTCCAAGCCTCCTCCTTCATCCTACCCCAGACATGCTCAATAATGTTCATGTCTGGTGACTGGGCTGGCCAATCCTGGAGCACCTTGATCCTTGTCAGTTTCAGGAACTTCAATGTGGAGGCTGAAGTATGACAAGGAGCGCCATCCTGCTGCAGAATTTGCCCCCTCTTATAGTTTGGAATGTAATGGGCAGCAAGAATGTCTTGATACTTCAGGCTGTTGATGCTGCCATCCATTCTGCAGATCTCTCGAACACCCCCATACTGGATGTAACCCCAAACCATGATTTTTCCTCCACCAAACTTGACTGTTTTCTGGGTGAATCCTGGGTCCATGCGGGTTCCAACAGGTCTCCTGCAGTATTTGCAGCATTTGGTATGCAGTTCAATGAATGATTTGTCAGAAAAATCAACCTTCTGCCACTTTGCCATTGTCCATCCTTGCTGCAAGCTGTGAGCCTTGGCAAATTCAACACCCTTTTTTTGTTGTGTTCTCATTAATGCTGGTTTTTGAGCACTAATTCGGCCATGGAGACCACTGCGTGCGAGAATTCGAGAAACTGTTCTTGTAGACACAGCAGTTTCTGGTGACCAGTTCTGATGTCGCTCTGCTGCAGTTGAAAAAGGGTTGGCCCTGGACTTTCAAAGCAACAAATGGTCCTCTTGAAGAGTTGTCTTACGTGGTCTGCCTGACCTGGGCTTGTCATGAACATCACCAGTTTCTTCATATATTTTTTTAATCCTCTCCACTTGACATTTGGATACATTAACGATGTCTGATGCCTCAGCAGACTTGGTCTGTGGTTGAATCTTTGGCATGTTGTCAGAAGTCAGGTTTGGATGCTGTTCAACCGAATAGTTACTTCAGCATTAGTTCAAATACAAGAACTCGTGGCCATAGGTGGAAATTAGCAGGAGAACATTTCAAACTGGATTTAAGGAAGCACTTCTTTACACAGCGTGTAGTCAGAATATGGAATAGTCTTCCTGATAACATAGTGCAAGCTGAATCCTTGGGTTCCTTTAAATCAGAGCTAGATAAGATTTTAACAACTTTGAGCTATTAAGTTCTCCCCAAGCGAGCTCGATGGGCCGAATGGCCTCCTCTCGTTTGTATAGTTCTTATGTTCTTATGTAAATTCATTCCTTTGTTGTGAGAGGTGGATGAGCGTGAGGAAGAAGGGCCCTTTGGCTTATTTATGAGATCTTGATAAGCCAGGAGACTCCAGGAATGTGAAGGGGGAGACATCGCTGAATAGTGTTAACCAAGGAGGTGCTCTGTTCCTACACACAGGGTCAATAATGTACATGGTACTAACAAAGACATATGGTTACATTCCTTTAAATGTTTCCTAAGTTCTCTACACTACACAAAACAATATTTGTGGGAGATAGGAAAGATACAAAGAATTACAGCCTCAGGTCTTTTTGAATGTGATGCCACAAGCTTGGCACACCTATCCTTGGGCAGTTTGGCCCATTCCTCTTTGCAGCACCTCTCAAGCTCCATCAGGTTGGATGGGAAGCGTCGGTGCACAGCCATTTTAAGATATCTCCAGGGATGTTCAATCGGATTCAAGTCTGTAGATGCTACACACAATGTGTAACCTTTAAAAAGATTCTTCTCTCTCTCAGGTATGAGAGAGAAAGGGTGTGTGTGGCTTTGGAATCAGCAGCACTCTTTGTCCACTCTCTTGTCCGTACTGTTCAGGGCTGCACGCCAGCACAGCCCAGACCACCAGGGGGCCCCAGCTTGCACCAGGTTTGGACCTTTATCTACAGGCTGGGTGGTGGTACATCCCTTACCTTCCAGAGGTCCCCAGATTTCCAAGACGTAAAACTTGGAATGTTAGTCTTCCCTTGTCTTCTTATCTGGATGGTCTTTGCTGGGGGTGTGTGTATGATCCTGCACAAAGAGCAGGATAGGATAGGCGGAAAGAGAATTTCCACACTGAGATCAATAAAATATTATCTATATTATTATTATTATTATTATTATTAAAAATATAATACAGTGCTACGTCAGAACTCGAACTTAATATGTTCAGAACTCCGGATTGAATCCTAAAAAGTTCGAGTTCTGATCGAATTTTCCCCATAATAAATAGTGGAAAACCAATTAAGTGGTTCCTGGCCCCAAAAAATTACACTTAAATGTTTTTTTTGAGCATTTAAATACAAAATGAACAAGAATAAAACAAGAAGAGCATATACTGCACTAAACACATCTAAGCACATTTATCAAAACAGTAATTTTTAAAGTAAGAAAATAAATGTATCCAAACAATGTGTCCTGCCCCAATCGTCCGCTCCTTCCGTGTACCACGCCCCCTCATTAACCCTGGCCGTGTGTAATCCCCGTGTGATCAGCTGTTTCTGGTTGTTGTCATTAGTCCTTAGTCTGCGTTTCACTTTGTTTCCTCAGTCAGGTCATTGTATTGTCAGACTGCGTTTTGCCTGCCTTACCTGTAATTAAACCCCGTATTCCGCGATACACTGACGTCTGCGCCTTTGTCTCCGTTTCATCCCTGCTAGGCATGACAATATTATTATAATTAAATGTATTAATGGTTTATTATTAATATTAAAATAATTAAGAATTTTTTTTTTAAATGTATTTTATTATATAATAATTGTCACGCCCGGCTCGTCCGATCCTCGTGTGTGCCACGCCCCCCTCGTTACCTCGTGTTACTGTCCTGATTGTGATCACCTGTTGCTTGTTCAGTTCAGCTTGTCTTGAGTATTTAGTCCGTGTTTCAGTCAGTATTCCCCAGTTCTGTCATTGTATTGTCATGTTTGATGTTCGATGTCTGCCTGGATCCCTTAATAAACCCCGTTTGTGTGTATTACCGGCTCTACTCGCCTGCTTCCCCGCTCGCCTGCCTGCATGCACGTGACAATTATAATTACTGTTACTGTCTATCATTGTCTAAATGTATTTTTACTATCTAAATATATGTATTCAGCTAGTGTAAACATGCAGGATGCTATCACAGCAAATGCGAGGCTGAGGCTGAGGCTGAGGCTGAAGCTTTACATGCGGCGTGACTCATTTCCCCGCACGTACAAGTTATCTTAGGTCGGCGTTCACGGTTCGACTTCTGAGATTCAGATCGAGTTATAGGTATTTTTTTTTTTAACTGGTTGGTTCGACTTTTAAGAAATTTGAGTTCTAATGAGCTCGAGAACTGATGTACCACTGTACAGTACTACTACGAATAATAATAATTATTATTATTTTCCAAAATCTGTGTTGAATTCTTTTGACAACAAAAAGGTAATAAATATTGCATATATAAATTACAAATCTATTCTTATTGCGTATGGTTGTTCAAGATAAAACTGTACGTTTTTTAGGTATTTGGCATAGGCTCCAGGTTCACAGTCACCGTTTACTGGATAATTCGTTTTTGAAATATGGATAGTCATATACTATGGCCAATTTAGAGACATCGCTTAGCCTAACGACGTCTTCGTAATAGGGGAGTGAACCCACGTTACACTCTCACACAGTGAGAGCATGCGAACTCCACACAAAGTACAAACCCCAAACCACCGGGCCAATGACGCCGCCTTACGTTAGCAACAGTAAACCCAACAGGCGTGAATTACCGTCATTGCTTCTGCAATCTGCAATCCTGGCTAGGGGGCGAAAGCGCACCGAGACACCCATCAAACGCAATTTCCCCCCTCACTCTACCAACGAGTAACGCGTGTTTTTCTGAAGGATCTTAATAAGTTATTAAAAGCGCGATTCGATGTTATTTCCCCAAGTTTTATTAAAGTTATTTCTTTACTAACAACGCCCTGGTGATGAGTTTCCCCAGCATAACTAATAATAAAACCAAACGAGTTTTAACCGGCCTACAAAATAACATCTGTCCAAGTGACCGGTACAGAGGAGTTATGGGTTTGGTAGTTTTATCTGTACGGATGTCAGAGAGCCGGTATTGCATACGAACTACCGATCCCAAGAGTCACAGCGTTTTCCAAGCATGTGCAAGAAGCTTCCGTTCCTTTTTCAAAACACTTGCCAGGAGCAGTTGCGGGTAAAGGCTGTGTCTTGCTGGTAAGTGTGCTCTTCCTACAGCTGACTGTTATCCATAGCATACCCTGTGTGAATACGGGGAAAATGTTTAGAAATTGAATTTCATACAAAACTTTTTATCAAAGGTGTCACAGGAATCCCAGTAATTTATATAAAACGATCCGTTGTTCGGAATGGCACAGGCTACGAATTAACTGCAGACATTATTTGAGGAAATCGTATTTTTTTCGTGGTTAGTGAAGGTTCCTGGTTTGCTAGGTGCGCTGTAGGTACTGTAGCCAGTCTTCGCGGGAAGCTTTTCGGCTTATTGACCGAAGAAGTTGGTTGACTGGTAGTGACACTTTCATTAGTCACAAAATTGGGAGTCATAGTTGTATTCGTCATATGAATTAGTAGGATTAAAATAGTTTGGAGTACAGTAATTCCATTTGAAACAGGTCATTAAGCACATGCGTCGACGTTGAACAGTCAATACGGTAAATAGTCTATGTTGCATAAGTGTTTGTTTGTAATTTATTTCCACCAAATGATCTAAGGAATTGGACATAGTTATTAAAATCATCCGTAGTGACACTGGGTTGTAGTCATTGCTAACTTTTTTTCTTATTTAAATTAAACCTGGCAGATTTGGGATGTCGACACTTGTTACTTTGAAACCAATTTCATGTCACCGAACGGAAGTCTTTAAGTTCCAAATACTGATGTTTTAAACGTTTATAGATCCAAATTGAGGATTTTTTTGGGACAGATTTTAGCATTCTTGTCGTCATTTCATGCTTTTTGTTCCGGTGGACCTCCGTGTGTAGTAGGACTACCTCTTGCACCCTGATTTGTGAACTGCTTCTTGTGCACCCAGATTGGTATTTGACTGATTTTTGTTTGGTTTGTTCAACAGATTTTTTTTATTCCCTACCCTTTGAGTACTGTGTTTTGCGGATGGGTTGTTTGCTTGCAGCATGATGCGCTTTCTTGGCCAAAAATAAAATCAAGCAAAATTGCAATGGCATCAGTCCCGTGTTTTTCAAAATATTTAATATGTATTTGTTGCATTCTGCTTTTAAGGCAACAGGTATTGTAGTTTTTATAGATGTGACATCAGTGTTGGTTTGCTGTACTACTGTTATTGTACTTTTGTGTTTAGGGTATTCCATTTTAATTCAACAAATGGCCTTTGTAGTTCAGAAATTCCTCAAAATAATAAAAATGCTGATGCGGAAACCTTTTTTGGAACTTTGATTAATTGAAATTGCTTCATCCTTTATTGTATCATATCAGTGGGGGCCTTCAGATCAACTCAAGAACATGTGATCCAAAATCGTTTTGTTTGTTTTTTATGGGTTTGTATGCTGAAAAGCACCTGGGGAAGTTCGCAGTCCAAAGTGGAACTGCATTATTGTTTCAAGGGGACTCTTGTAGATTTATGTAAAAAATATTTAGGGTCATTGTAATATGAATAATAATTAATGAAAAATATTTAGGTAATTGTCAGTTATTTTTTGTATTTAAGAAGGTATAATGGATTTTAAAAAATTGTATTTCAGGGTATGCAAAATCAAACTGTAAATGTATTTTAAGCTTTTTTGAGCGACTTGATAAGTTGGTATTGATTAATATTCCTCATTAGCAGTCAAGTGGTTACACTGGGTTTTACTGCTTGAATTTTATAAAAGAATTCTCAGTGAGACTTTAAATGAATTGCATTTTAAATTAAATAATTTATTGTTTGTGTTATATGGTCATGTCAAAAGTCCAGATATTTAATGGGAAGTTTTGTGTCAGAAAGCATCCTCCTAAAATCCTCAACACTTGATATGTGTTACCATGTCATCAGATTCTTTTTTTTTTCTCTCTCTAACCCAAAAGAATCTTCCAGTCAGTCCGTACACCCTGCAGCCTTTAAGACTGTAATTCCCTGAGGTTTAGTAGTAGCATTTGCTGCTCTCATCAGGAAATGCGGGTTAAGGAGATGCTTCCTCTCACAATCCATTACCCATTCCTCCATCTCCCTACCCCTTACCCTGGCCAGGGCAGTGGGGAGCCTATAGCCCATCCTGGCAGCATAGGTCACACGGCCAAGTCACACCTTTGGTGGGATGACAGTCCCTTGCAGCGTTAAGGGCATTTTTGAGATGCTATTTAATGTAACTGCTAGTCTTTGGACTGTCCAGTTTTTATATATTTGCATATATTGACTCTGGGTTTTCTTTTTTCACAGGTGATGACTTGTAAATAACAAACGTGCCGTGACACTGACAATATGGAGGATGACTGGAGGCCGTTGCTGGGCCCTGATTGGTCCGGGGAGAGCTACGCTACCCAGAGTGTCACCGACTCACTGGACTCAAAGACCAGGAGGTATTGAGCCCCGCCATTTAATGGGTTATTGGTTACTCATGATGCTGCGGGCGTTGATTGGTCTTCATTGACTGTGGCCCTAGCACGGCATCACCTTGTTATGACAGGGGATGCAGAGGTCAGCATAGAAAAAGAATTAACTGGTCTTTTGTAATAATACACAATGTGTTTGTGCCATTGGTCTCTTGGAGGAAGTCACACTAGTCTTTTTTTTTTTAATCTGTGAAAATGTGACAACGAAATGAGTAGCCCTGAATGTGTATGACAAAGCAGATAATTAGCAAAGTCGTGCTACTTGGTTTCGTGCAGATACTGCAGATTTAGGACTTATTCCTATGGCGATCAGTGTCTCAGGCTTTGTCTTGTAAAAAAAATGTACAGATCACCCCTTGGGGGTTTCCTACAATTTCCAGTTTTACACCTTCATCTATTACTCGTATTGATACTGCTACTGGTGAATGAAGTTGCAGTCCCTGTGTGAATGAAGTTGGTAACCCAGCTGTCTTTGTCTGAGGGTGGGAAAACTGGTTATTTTTCTGGCAGAAAGAAAAAAAGCTGGAAAGATAGCAAATGATTAATCGACACAGCAATTGGTGGTGAGCTGCTCGCTGGAGTATAGAAAGTGTGGGGTGGGTCTTGGGGCCCCAAGCGGGAGGTACTCATGGTCGGCTGTCATCTGTAAGCTGTCAGTCTCCCTTTTGACACTAGGCTGTAAAAATGCACCTTGGATCAGGCGCAGGGGGAATGCTGCCCCAGATGGTGCTGCTAGGTGCTGTCTACAAAGGGGGGAAAAGACCATAAAAATAATGGGTGGATGGGTGACCACCACTGCCTCAGCAGTAACAAAGTGTTGGCAAGAAGAGTTGGCTTCACCTTCACCCTCCACACAGCTGTTTGTCATCTGAAAATGATGCAGCAGTTGGCCTGTTATGGAAGATTGTCAGCTCCTTCCGAGTGCCCTTTGCCCCTAGTGTCACGCATTCTTTGTCGCTACTTGTCACAAACCAATCATGCTTGGTATTTTGCAGATTCCATGCAGGAGCCTCGGACTGTGAGCGTATGGTTATGGGTGTGCGTGTACGCTGTCCTCTTTCCTATGCTCTTTGTGCTTTGTTTTTATTCCTCAGAGGCTTTTTACGAAGAAATGCAGATGATGCAGACAGCCACTTTGATTTCTTACATGTTCTTCATATCGCTGTGAACCCTTAATGGTTATGAACATAGAGCTCTCGGCTGAAACTGCAGTATGTATATACCATGGGGTTATTGCTAGGTGGTATCAAAGCTAAGAGCTAAATGGTTGGCAAGGCCTGCTGTTGGCTTGTCATGGTGGCTCTGTCTGCTGGCTGTGATGTGGTAAGGTGCTAAGACGAGCGGTAACACTCCCTTTCCATTTCTTCCTGGGCTTGTGGTTGTGTGTCAGACTTTGCAAGCTAGCAGAGCAAGTCACTGATACCATGAAAATAATACTCATGGTGACTGTGAGGTAACTGCCTTGAAACATCGCTATGGACATTTGGCTTTTTCTGACTGTCTTGTTTGAGGTTGGGGACTGAGATGCTCCCCTTTAATAAACAGACCTCTGAGTGATTCCGGAAGTACTTGTCATCATTTGTAGCTAATGGTAAAAACAAAAACAATGTTACGCATATGTGTATCACAGTTATCCTGCAATGTTATGGGGGTTGTATATGGGGCGGGCGATCTGATGATTTTATATCGTTATTGATCTTGAAGACATCCATGATCTACTTTGCGATTCATACAGATCGTGATAATTTATGTCCTCCTACTAATATTTCCAATCTTGACATAAAACCTGATGTCCTGTAATAACGCGTGTCACTTTCCGCTCCACATCTCCTCACTTGCCATGCTGATAGCTCACATTTAAATGCTTTCCAAATATGTTGCACGCAAAAGTAACCCTGTGATAGAGACGCATCACTTGGTGAATCTGCAAAGCCATCTAATAGGAAGTCATTGATTAGCAGATAGTGTTATTATACAGGTATTTTATGTATTTTGTTTTAAATTCATTTATGTAAAAAATTTTTATTTTAACATATTTTATTTATATTTAGTTGTATTGATATATGTTTATTGTGTATAGTCTTGTTTGTATTGTGTGCTTACGTCACTGTTAAAGATGAATTTCCATCTGATGTAAATTTGATGGACATTAAAGGAATATTCTATTCTATTCTATTCTATTCTATTCTATTCTATTCTGTTGTTTTGTGCATGAAACATGGATACAAGGTGTAACACCCCGATTTGTACCACCTACCCAATTCGTACCTCACACCTCTGCACCACATTATATTTTCTGGCACTGCTCGATGTTTGTCCTGCAATTTTTCCGGCAAATTGTATTGTCTATATTTACAGCAAACTACAGGTTTAGCGAAACCTGTTGTTAATGATTCCTCTGACTGTAAAAAAAAAAAAAAAAATCTGCGTTCTTCGCATGTTATTTTAAGTGTTCCCTCCGATTGTCTGTTTCCAGGTTTTTGCATCAACACTATTACCTAAATATCCCATAACTGTATCCCATAACTGAATCAGTTGAAATTGCTGCTATCTAGCAGCATGGTATTTTGATATACTTAAAGCTTTGGTTTACTTTGACCTAAGGGACGTATACGGTCACCTCACTCTGACTGGGGTAACCTAATGAGACCCATAATCACACACTTGGACACAAGTGCAGGTACAGAGAACACAAAGAATCCAAGATCGGAATATCTGGCTTAATATCCCATTCTGGGCTGGTGGAGATCGCTCACAAGCAGCCCGTAAGGTGAACCTAGTGCAAAGCGAAGTGGTAAAAGCAGGCATTGTTGTAGAAAATGCTGTAAGTGCAGTGCTGTGCATACACTGGGGTGCGAGGTGCAAATCCGGCATGTAGTCATATTTCACAAAGCAAAGTTATCTGTAAACTTTGCTGGGCCACAGTCGGCACTTCCAGAAGTAATACAACAAATGTATTCATTCGCCTTAAAGGGAATACAATGCAATAAACTTTATTTTACATATTAAAGTTGTAACTCAGGGTTTAATTACTCTTGAAAACAGTGTCTTTAATGCAATATTGTATTTTAAATGGTGCTAATTACTCGTTCAAGTCTGGGATTTCTTAACAGTACACTTTAAAACTGGGAAGAAAGATCGCAGTTCAGATTGTGGATCGCGATTGTGTGTTGTGAAGTTTGTAATATGATTTTTTTTGGGAAGATCGCCCACCCCAGGTTGTATCTGTGTCCTTCAGGCCGTTTCATGTGGAGCCTCGGAATATTGTCGAGGAGGATCCTCTGGAGCGGGTCTCCGCGGAGGCCTCCATCATGAGCAGCAGGATGAACTACTACAGTCGCCTGACTGGCTCTTCAGACAGACTGCTGGTAGGTTCTCCCCAGGGGGGATGAAAAGCAAACCACGACGTGGGAGGAGACGTTACTCAGAGGGTAGCAAGGACATTGTCTATTGTGGCCTGCTATACCCTTGGTGTGTCCGGTTTACTCTGTTGCCCTGCTTTTCTTTTCAAGTTATTTTGTTGGTACAGTTGAGCATGCAATTACAGTTGAACATTTTCATGTATTATTTGTCTTATCAGGTTCCACCAGACCATGTGATCCCAGCTCCAGAGGAGATTTATGTTTACAGCCCTTTAGGGACCGCGTTTAAAGTGCACGGAGGTGACGGCTCAGCCAGAAACCCCAGCATCATCACCATGTGGGTGGTGCAACCCCTTACAAGGACGTAGATCCATTTTGACTTTAGTGTTTGGTTTCCAGTCTTCCCTGGTGAAATTCAATTCAGCCCTTTTTCTCAAATGTTCTGTCTCTGTAGCTTCGCTATATGGAACGCTATGATGGGGACTTCGATACTGAGCATACCCTGGGGCATTAAGCAGGTAAAGTGTGTCACCTACAGCCCATCCACCATTTCCTGGTGTTAAACATTGTCCTTGCAGTTTGGGACCTTTAACTGTGTCATTACAGTTTCACCGAAGCAATTCACATGACAGTCAGACACGTGACAATTTAAAACCTTTGGTCAAAACCACAGCTTGCTTTCCTGGACACTTCTGTAGGCCTCTCTGCCACTATATTGTAGGCCGTATACCAATAAAGACATGTGATGTGTAGCACTTTATTGTGTTTTTCCAGGCTGGCTTCACGTTTGGGATCCTTATTATCATCTCTGTGGGCCTGATGACCTTGTACTGCTGTTACAGAGTTCTAAAATCATCCAAATCCATACGTAAGCAAATATTCTTTGTGCCGTTTTTTTGTTTTTTTCTTTTCTTTTTATCACAGTCTTTGTGGCTCATAACTCGTGATGAGGAAAGTGTGTGTGGATATTTGTAAACCTTGTTGTTCTGGTTTGGACTGATAAGGTTTGCTCTGTATCCCTGTGCCGTATGACATGTTATTGGTTGTTGCTTCTTAAAAATCTGACCACAACCCAGTCTTGATTTTATGCAAATAAGTTTTTTCTCCTTTCTCTTCCCTCCCTTTCAGCATATATCGATACCTCAGACTGGGAGTTCCACGATGTCTGTAAATATTACCTCGGGGCTCCTGGCCAGTGGTCTAGCCTTATCTTTTCCATGGTGTCATTGATTGGTGCAATGGTCGTCTATTGGGTCCTTATGTCCAACTTCCTGTTCAATACGGGCGAATTCATATACAGTGAGTTATTACAATCGATAGATATATTTTGGATTTGGATTTTTCTTTTTACTTTTTTACTGGATGAATGATTTTTGTTTTTGTTGTAGATTATGTCCACAATATCAGTATGGCTGATGCTGATTTTGGAACTAATGGGACTGACAGAGGTAAATTCCAAACCGTTGCTAATGCTTTAGTGGTTGTCTTTACATTTGTGGCATTTTTAGGGTAGGGCATGATTACATCACACCTCTGGGTCTGGGGGTTGGAGTTCTGTCCCTGTGCTGTGGGTGCATGTTCTCCCAATTTTGCATGGGTCTCCTCCAGGTGCTCCAATTTTCTCACACAGTCCAAAGATATGCAGCTAGGCTAAGGTGCCTCTATGTTGCATGTAATGTGTGAGTTGTGCCCTGTGGTGGGCTGGCATTCTACTGATACCCCAATTTCATGCACTTTTTAACTTAATACTTGATAGAGGGTTGGATGATGTATTACATTTAGGTCACATTCTCTTTGTGTTCCCTGGGATTCAAACTCACGAGCTTTGTGTTGTTAGTGCAGTGCTCTACTTGTTGTACTACAGGATTTCTGTTCTAAAACTTACTGCATAAAAAGTTCAGTAGCTAACTGTGTTACTGATGTTCAGTTTCACCGAGTCAGTGGGAAATCAAAATCCCATACTGGAGAGGAGGGGTCACCAGGAACCTTATAACTTATACTAGGAACCTTATAACTTATACCAGGAACCTTATAACTTATACCAGGAACCTTATAACTTATACCAGGAACCTTTACTCTATAACTTAACTTCTATAATCTCTATAACCTGAGCCTTGTTCCCCTCAGTGATCTGTCCGTTCCCGGGTACTCAGCCGGAGCGGAACGGCAGCCTCACCCTGTTTGCCCTGAGTGATAACAGTACGGAGGCACCGCTCTTCGAACACTTGTGGAGCAAGACGAACACAGTCCCTTTCTACCTCATCATCTTGCTCCTCCCACTTCTCAACTTCCGCTCTGCCTCCTTCTTTGCGAGGTTCACCTTCCTAGGTGAGAATAAGGATTTTCATCTATACAGCCCAGCGCTCTGATTGGCAGAATTACACAGGACTATGAAATATAGCTTTGTATCAAGACTGTAATGTGTGTGTTTTATCATTTGTCCTTAACTTTTTTACAATAACACTTATTTGTAATGGAATTTTGAGAAAGCTAGTGTATTCTTTTGGAATGATGCATCAAACGTGTGTTACCTGCTCTATAATTAAAACATTTTAGCTAGCTTGTGAACCAATAACTTTTTCTAGAGTACTGAAAAAAATATGAAGTTATGTCAGATAATGTGGTTACTTAACACCAGTTTATCCAGGGTAATCCTTATTTGTTGAACATGGCGTATGTGTGGGCATCATTGTGTATTTCACTTTCAGTGGTCATTAAGAGTGTACGTGTAAGCTTTGTATCGTTGCATGCCTTTTACATTTGTTGTGTTGACATTGCCCATCTAGGCCATTGTCTGGATGCAAGCATGTTCGGTATAAGCTAGCGTCATACCTGATGTGACAATTCTTGATCAGCTTCTGCTCTATCTTCCTCACAGGCACCATATCTGTGATGTACCTGATTTTCCTGGTCACGCTAAAAGCATTTCGGTTGGGGTTCCACCTTGAATTCCACTGGTTTCACCACACAGAATTCTTTGTCCCAGGTATTTTGCTAAAACAACCTGTTGCCCTTCAGAAATATGTGCCACTTCTGACTTCTTGCCTTCATAACTGAAATTGGCACCAACTAAAAATGCAGAAAATAAAACTAACTCCAACTCCTTAGGAAGCCAGTTTGCATCACATCCAAGAATTAATACTGCAGAAAAAACATTTGTGCACTTCTATAAATTGGTGATAGTCAAGACTACTCAATGCCCATCTCAGGAACATTGACTTTATGGTACTAACATGGTTCTAGCGATGAGTGTGTTCATACAACAACTATCCAGTTGTTTACACTCAATTGAAGCATTGAATGTTGGATTATGTCTGATGTATTTCTAATTTTCAGTCTTTTTTCATTCATTCAGTGACAGTCAGCCCTCAGTGTAATGACTATTTGCATAGCATTTACAGTGGGGGACTTTGGTATCCACAGGGTATCGTGGAACCAATTCGCTGTGGATACCAAAATCCACGGATACTCAAGTCCCGCAATGTACATGTTATGTAAATAGTTGTTATGCTGTATAGTCTTGCATTGTGTTATGCCTGATTGAGTCACATTTGACTGCATTCACGTCCGAGGCCCATAGTGAATAATATACAATGATCAACAGACACCTGAAAGCAGACATATAGCAGGAAGTTAGTGGGTTTGTTGCTTTTTATTATAAAGTGCTGTGATTTTATATTTACATTATTATTTGCTCTCGAGTACTGTGTGTATATTACAGTTATGTAATTAATGCCTTACCTCTCCTCTACAACTATTGAGAAAACATCCAAATTGACTCGCGTCTGATGGTCACAGCCCTAAATGCGAACACAAGTTGCCACAAGGTTGTTTATTACCTACATAGGACACGTCAGCAACAACATAACATATTCTTTCTTCCAACACTTACATATTGCTGTTGTTTAATGATCTGAAAGAGAAATGCATAGAATACGGCACAGAATATTTAAAATGCAAGTACAAGTAGAAAATATAATTATAAATGGAAAGAACTTTCTGGAATTCCCCCCCCCCCCAAATATTTTCAATTCCTGGTTGGATAAATCTGCAAATGCAGAACCTGCGGATACGGAGGGCCAACTGTATGTGATTGTGCCAAAAGTTCAACAAATAAAGTAGTAATTGTAGTAAAAAAAAAAAAAGTTTTACAGTGGGCTTCAGCTCTTTAAACAGGACTGATAGTCCTGTCATGGAGTTGTGGTTTGTGTGCGCTGTTATAATACAAACACAAAATGTGTTGTACGCCTATGAATTAATTTTACATTAATTCCTCTTCTGATTTAGCAGTAAAATCTTGTGCTGCTCTGCTCGGGAAGGCAGTTGTTAACATGCACAAAACCGCTGAACGCTGATCTTCATAAATACTGTCACTCCAGCTGTTTGTGTTGAGGTTCTTGGTCTCTGCCCCTCCCCACAGAATTCAGAGTGCTGTTCCCACAGCTGACGGGAGTTCTCACTCTGGCCTTTTTCATCCATAACTGTGTTATCACCTTGATGAAGAGCAATCAACACCAGCAAAACAACGTAAGTGTAGCCGATGTGGGGTTTCTCCAGTATTCTCACCAGTTTAAGAAAATATATAAAAAAAAATCCCGAAGAATGTACACATGAAGTAATTTCCCCTCTAAAAAGACAAAGATCTATTGGCAACATGAGTCACAGCCACCTGTAAAACAAAAATGGGTATTTTTCTCTTTCTGATGTCAGGTGAAGTTTCTGTTCCAGTTTCGTTTCGATTTAGGGTCACAGTTAGTTTCTTTCTCACTCCACATGCCTCTCAGATCGTCTCCTAATTAGAAGAAGCATGTGAGTTTGGGAAAGGTTAAAGGAGAGGTTCAGCTACATTAAAGGGAAGTATTTAAGATTTGTCCGACTGATAGTTATGAGGGGCATGTTTATTTAATCCACTATCTACTTTCGGTACATAATTGTAATTGAACAGAACTGTATTTTTTTGAAGACAGATTAAAGATAGTATGTTTTATTTCGTCTTTGTGCTAAGCTGAGCACTAACGAAAGATAACAGTAGGTGGAATGCTGATGTCAGGATTTTCACTGAAGAATGTTGCAATTCGTTTTGCCTGCGAAGCATTTTTTCTGGAGGCTTTGTCTACAGCAGGCATGCCCCCCCTCAGCTGTCTGAAGCACTTTTTAACTTCCGTTTGTTCCTCCCTTACAGCCGCTGATAGTCACAATAGAAAGTACAGCTTGTAGCTATCAAAGCCTGGCTTGTCAACAGACTAAACTAGTCATGTGATGACCTTTTGGTCATACTGCATATTTGTAGTATGTGTAGTTAATGAAATAAAAACAGGCAAAGCCATTATATTTGCTTGAGCAGGTGCACGTGTGACATTTATTTTCGTAAATGTTAAGAATTGATTTGGTAAATTAATGCTGTGGTGACCAGCCATCGTACATGTTAATTGTAAAGGTTAAAGATTCCGATTCTGAAATGTGAATTTACGCTAATACGGGGGCTTTTCTGGGTCCTCTTTTTTAGGGGTCTCCTCTGGGCAGTCCAGTTTCCTCCCGTAGTCCAAAGACTGTTGGAATTTTTTTTATTTCGGAAAGTCTGCAGTGCGTGTTTGTGTCCTGTAGCGGTCTGGCATGGGTTAAAAAAAAATTAAAGTAACAAATGACAACAGTCTTGCGTACCTCCTGGGGGTGCTCTGAGTACCACTGGTGCTACACATATTGCTGATCTAGGATGTGTAGAATATGCCTACAGAGGGCTCTGGAGCCTACAATTAATAAGCAGTTAGATGGATGAATGCATACAGTGGAGGAAATAATTATTTGACCCCTCGCTGATTTTGTAAGTTTGTCCAATGACAAAGAAATGAAAAGTCTCAGAACAGTATCATTTCAATGGTAGGTTTATTTTAACAGTGACAGATAGCACATCAAAAGGAAAATTGAAAAAATAACTCTAAATAAAAGATAGAAACTGATTTGCATTTCATTAAGTGAAATAAGTATTTGAACCCTCTAACAAAAAAGACTTAATACTTAGTGGCAAAACCCTTGTTTGCAAGCACAGAGGTCAAACGTTTCTTGTAATTGATGACCAAGTTTGCGCACATTTTAGGAGGAATTTTGGTCCACTCCTCTTTGCAGATCATCTCTAAATCACTAAGGTTTCAAGGCTGTCTCTGTGCAACTTTGAGCTTAAGCTCCCACCATAGGTTTTCTATTGAATTAAGGTCCAGAGACTGACTAGACCACTCCATGACCTTAATGTGCTTCTTCTTGAGCCACTCCTTTGTTGCCTTTGCTGTATGTTTTGGGGGTCATTGTCATGCTGCAACACCCATCCACGACCCATTTTCAGTTTCCTGGCAGAGGGAAGGAGGTTGTTGCTCAGGATTTCACGATACATGGCTCCGTCCATTTTCCCGTTCATGCGGTGAAGTTGTCCTGTGCCCTTAGCAGAAAAACACCCCCAAAGCAAAATGTTTCCACCTCCATGCTTGACGGTGGGGATGGTGTTTTGGGGGTCATAGGCAGCATTTTTCTTCCTCCAAACACGGCGAGTTGAGTTAATGCCAAAGAGCTCAATTTTGGTCTCATCTGACCACAGCACCTTCTCCCAGTCACTCTCTGAATCTTTCAGGTGTTCATTGGCAAACTTCAGACGGGCCTGCACATGTGCCTTCTTGAGCAGGGGGACCTTGCGAGCACTGCAGGATTTTAATCCATTGCAGTGTAATGTGTTTCCAATGGTTTTCTTGGTGACTGTGGTCCCAGCTACTTTGAGGTCATTAACTAACTCCTCCCGTGTAGTTCTAGGATGATTTCTCACCTTTCTCAGAATCATTGACACCCCACGAGGTGAGATCTTGCGTGGAGCCCCAGACCGAGGTCGATTGATGGTCATTTTGTGCTCCTTCCATTTTCGAACAATTGCACCAACAGTTGTCACCTTCTCTCCCAGCTTCTTGCTAATGGTTTTGTAGCCCATTCCAGCCTTGTGCAGGTCTACAATTTTGTCTCTTACATCCTTGGACAGCTCTTTGGTCTTTCCCATGTTGGAGAGTTTGCAGTCTGCTTGATTGATTGATTCTGTGAACAGGTGTCTTTTATACAGGTGACTTGTTAAGACAGGTGTCTTTAATGAGGGTGACTAATTGAGTAGGAGTGTCTAACCACTCTGTGGGAGCCAGAACTCTTAATGGTTGGTAGGGGTTCAAATACTTATTTCACTCAATGAAATGCAAATCAGTTTCTATCTTTTATTTAGAGTTATTTTTTCAATTTTCCTTTCGATGTGCTATCTGTCACTGTTAAAATAAACCTACCATTGAAATGATACTGTTCTGAGACTTTTCATTTCTTTGTCATTGGACAAACTTACAAAATCAGCGAGGGGTCAAATAATTATTTCCTCCACTGTATTAGCCTCCAAAGTGTTGATACTGATCTGAAATTTTTACCTATACAGCCTCTCCCTGGGTTACGATGGGGTTATGGTCCGACAAGCCTATCGTAAGGTGAAAATTTCGTAAGGGGAAAATGCATTATACAATGCACTTACAACACAGGAAAAAAATATGCGCTCGAACACTGATACAACTCCGTGAGTCGTTGGCGAAGGTGAGGAATCCCACAAGCCAGGCGATGCGTACATCTCAGCATCCCAACGTATCATACCTCATACGCTGCTATGCTTGCCTGCCAGCTATGCCTGCCCGTGAATCTTAAGATGTATTCCAATTTTTAGCGTATCGGAATCATCATCGTAAGATTGAAAAATCGTAACTCGTGGACCATCTGTTTTCTCTTACAGGTTCGGGACTTATCCGTGGCATACGTGCTGGTTGGAGTAACCTACCTATATGTGGGGGTTTTGGTCTTCGCTGTCTTCCCATCCCCGCCGCTGTCTAAGGAGTGCATCGAGCCGGTACGGGTGTCCCATTTGACCCTGCTCACCTGAATGGTGGGGACCACGGAAATCACGAGCCAACCCATCTCTCCCCCTTCCCTCCTGCAGAACTTCCTGGACAATTTCCCCAGTAGCGACATCTGGGTGTTCGTTGCACGGATGTGCCTGTTCTTCCAGATGACCACAGTCTACCCATTGCTCGGCTACCTCGTACGGGTGCAGATCATGGGCCAGATTTTTGGCAAACACTACCCAGGGTATGCAAACTCTGCTTTTGAAGGGGCAGGCTTGTCTGGGGTCCAGAATGACCTGTGTTTCTCAAACACTCTTGACACTGGCAGATATGGAGATTGCTATGTGACATGTCATTTAAGCAGCTTAATTGCATGGTTTTTACATTTGTGAGAGTAGCTAGAATGCTTGAAGTCACCAGGCAGAGGGTCATTGAACGAAGTTTAAGGTGACTTGTTTGACCCATTGTAATGCTGTTATGTTTTTTTCCCTTTTTCCATCCAGATTCTTTCATGTGCTGTTTCTGAATGTCGTCATCGTGGCAGCTGGCGTGCTTATGGCAAGGTTTTATCCCAACATCGGCTCCATAATCAGGTAGGACCGGCCCCGTTGGCATGGGAAAAGACATTTAGCTAGTAGATAGGTGTGACATTCTTTCAGACTGAGGGTGGTGCTGTTTTGTCATAGAGGTCAGTTGTGTTAAATTTGGCAGTAGAAGCATGAATATTAGTATTGATCGTAGGATGATCTATGGGATAAGCTGAGATAGAAATTGCCCATCTGATTACCTAGCTTTAACTCCCAACGTTTTTCTTTTGTAGATATGCGGGGGCATTTTGCGGCCTCGCCCTGGTGTTTGTGCTGCCCTCTGTGGTCCACATGATCTCCCTTCACCGAATCGGAAAGCTCCGCTGGCCCTCTGCCACCTTTCACAGTCTTCTGATAGCACTGGGGTTCGCCAATCTGCTGGGACAGTTCTTTATGTGATGCCACCTGGTGGACTGCACATGCAATGGCAATAGTCTGCGCAACAGTTGCTCTCTCGCGAACAGGGCCGTCCAAGACAACTGTGTGTCTCGGTTAAAGCAGTGACTAGTTGGCGGTTGGCATGGAAGGGAATATTAATGTAAATTGAATCAAACTCAAACATCAGTTTGGTCTTGAAGCTGGTTATAAGACCGTGGGTTCCTTAAACAGTAAAAGCATCCCTCTCAATACACTGTTTTAAATGTTAATTGCACTTGTGTTACTGATATTTTGGTATCCAAATACAAATTCAGCAGCCTCATGATTGACAGCATTTGAACTCTGACCCCCCCCCCCACCATTTGCTATTGTTGCTGATGTGATTGACCCCAAATAACCCACTTCAGTGTTCTATATAATCTAAATAAAGTTCATGGAGGTTAGGGGGCACAACTGCCTGTTTCAGGTGATTTGGATCAATGTGATATTTATAAATATATAGAAAAGTAATATTTTTTTACCATGTCTTGCCTAGTAACAGAGAGATGTTTCTTACTAATGTGAACTTAATGGTGGAAGATTCCAGAATCTCTAAGGATCTTGTTGCCAGGATGCAGGGGATTTGAAGAGGCTCTTTCTAAATGCGTGGAGACCGAGTGGTTTAAAAGTCCCGGGTTTGTCGTGCTGATGGCAGTGTCAGTAATTATGTATTTCGGGACGCCCTCCTCGTGCCACACTTCTGCTCATACAGAATGAGGTGCTTTTTCTGTAACTCTCCCATGGTGCAGGTCGGTCTACAGTATGGTAACAGGTGACCCACTAGAATATGGACCTATTCTGGCCTGGCTCATCTCTGCTTTTTTCCCCCCAGTTTTTTTAATTTATTTTTTTTTTGTCTCCCACCCCCCCTCACCCTCTTGGGGTTGTTCCTTCATGTGGACCATGCTGCTTTTCTTGTCTCTCTTTTTCTTAGCACGGGGGGGGGCTTGGTCCACGTGTCTGCAATTTACTCTGATCCTGTCTGGATTTAAAAGCTAAATTTAAGGTTGTGTCACTCTGATCTGACTCCAAACAGATCACAGTCAGTTCTGCGGGTAAAAATTTGCACCTTTAATGTGGGATAAAAAGTTGTACTGATGAAAGTATATTTGGGTCTGATAACACCAGGTGGTTCTGCTAATATTGAATAATGATAAAAACAGAAGGAACTTGAATTATTTTGTATGCTTACTTACCTGAACTGTAGCTTCATCTAAAATGACTGATGACTGTTCTTCTATGTTAAATCAGTTCTGTGCATTGGTAAATGTAAATGTCTGCCTGCAAGCAGTGTGCTGGTTGCTTTTAATGTTGGAAGAAAGTGTTTTGCACTTCTTTAGACGTTTTCCATATACCAGCAGATGTATACCGTCATAGATAACCTGTAAGTTTGGTGTTCCCACATCCCTGTCTTATCCCCTCTGTGCAGCAGTCATGCCATATGATGGTCTAATGACATGAGGCCTTTCTGTATTTACAGTGCATTTTGCTTGCCTTTTTAAATAGATTCTGTTCACTTTAAAAGCCGGTAATAAATGGTGGTTTTGAAATCACTTTCAAGGTTTTATTAAACTAAGTTCTCTTAACAGTACAGCCCTGATCACATTTAAAAGTTTGGTCCAGGTCTAGCAGTATCCTTGGTTTTCTATTGAATCTAAAAAAATGTATCCTAGTGAAATAAAGTTGTTATTGGTTTAATGATATGCCAAAAATTAATGTTATGGGTTAATCAAAATCTGAAAGGCTAGTTTATTATGTAAGTCACACTTGTTCACCCACTAGCAACCAATTAACTGGATACATTATGTTTAATAAAAGAGCCAAACAGCTGCTATGTACTGTTAATGGACTAGAGTTCCAAAAAAAAAAAAATTATGGTAACTGAAGTCAAATAGAGATGGGAAGCTGTACTGAAAAGTTAGATGTCTTGCACATAAGTGAAACTATTTTACAGAAATGTGTGTTTTTATGACAAGACTGCCAGTTCAGTAGAAAAGCTCAGTGTAATCTGTGTGACCTGGGCTCTGACCACATGGATACAGCAGCTCTTCCCCTCCGGACATGGTAATGGGCTCCACCTAGTGGACAAGGAAAGATATGAATACAGATAAATTGCTAGCGCATTGCTGGGTAGGTACTGGGGGCGGTGGCACATTAAAGGAGAGCTATAAGCATGGAGTTAACTTTTGTTCATGGTGTTCGCAGTAATGTTTACCATGTGGTATTCGACCAGTTCGGTCAGCGTCGTGAATTTGATCTGGTCTCCCAGCAGCATGTAGCAGCTGTCCGTGGCGTCGATGAGGAAGTGCTTGAAGCCCTCTGGGTAGCGGTAGGAGAGGACGAAGCCCATGATTCTCTCGCTGACACGGATGAGGAAAGCCCCCGGCTTCTGGCCGCCGAGCAGGGCCTCGGCCTCCTGCCGCGTGATTATTCCTGAAGGGAAGGGAACCTGTCACCACTGGCGCGTACCTGACACCAAGAGTGCCAGTCAGGGTCAAGGTGAGACCGGAGCCCATCCCAGTAAATAAAGGGCATGTGGCAGGGGGACCAGGACGGGGGGAAACTGCAAACGTGCAGAGCCGGGCATCGAACCCACGGCCCAGGAGGTATGTCTCAGCTGTTAACCACTTTGCCGCCCTCTGACAACCGCATATGTTAAATATACTATCATGGCAGGTGAAAAAGGTGACAAAATCCCCCCCCCCCCACTCAAGTGATTGTTGCCATTCTATCATTTACTCTTGCAACATAGTTGATTTAGAGATATTTTTGTAGTAATAAAATCAATGGGCCTCATTCACCAACCGTTCTTACGAACAAATGTTCTTAAACCCCACGTACGCACTTTTTTTACGAAGATTCTGACATTCACCAATGTTTTCTTATCTGAATTTGTTCTTAGCTAATAACAGAATCTACGCACACTCAAGACCATTCGTATGCACATTTGAGTAATTATAGTTTGTTCAAAATAATTGGTTATAGCAGTTTTGTTAATTCTACAGTTCATAAAATGAAAGTATTTGAATAATTTATAAAAGTAAAAAAAAAAAAAGTAATTTTAAAGTGTAAAAATTATTTTCATGGTAGTAACGGCGATCATGCGGATTATAAATATGTCTGTTTCTGCGCATTGGCCTTGCTATCAAAATGCCATTTCTGTTACTTCTTGAAAAGCTTGCCAATCGTGCTCTGAGAAGGGAACACATGTTTGAAGATCATTTAGATTTATTTGGCACACAGCGTTCACAGAGAAGGTGGATCAGCTTTCTTTGGGGCTTTATATCCACTGGTTACGCTACTAAATAACATGTCTATTTGCATTTACCTCCTGTACAGTGAGATCCAGTTATAACGGACTTCAAGGGACCTGGCATAACAGTCCGTTATATCTAAAGTACGTTATATGCAGAGTTGCTGTATGCTCAGAACACAACTACAGGACACCATTCACTCATGCCACACCCCATTAAATTATTATAAATTATTATATTGTACATGTAGTAATCCAACTTTACCTCAGCAGATGCGTGACTATTAATAATCCCGATTACGTATCTGCGCTGGATATCACCGGCACGCCGCGCGCCTTGTTGGCGGAGCCTGAATGCCCATTATAGCCGAACAAAACTACAGCTAAAAGCGGCGCTGGGGACTAAATTGTTTGTCTGTTACAAGCGAAATTCCGTTAAATGCGAGTCTGCTATATCCGATACTTTTTCTTCATTTTCTTAAAGGTGCACGGCCGGGACCAGCAGACCTCGTCCATTATAGATGAGATTGCGTTATAAGCGAGTCCACTATAACAGGATTTTACTGTATTAATACTCTACTTCAGCATTACTGAAGTTTTTTTTCCCTCTTAGTGCCAACCAGCTCACAACCATTGAGCTGGTCTCTTCGCCATTCCTTGCACACGGCGCTACAGTCTCATGCCCTTTTATGGGAAATTGCAGGGCGTTTCCCTATGCTAATTAGGACAAACTGGCACGCGCTTTCAGTTACGAAGACGTTCTTAAGAACAAAGGTGTGAACAATTCTGCTACTTAAGAACACGTCATGAATCCGACGTAGGTTGTTCTTAACAAATTTTGCAGAAACAAATTTAAGAGAATCCTTAAGAAAATATTGGTGAATGAGGCCCAATGTGTTTGCGAAGTAGAACGGTATGACCTAGGGGCTGGTTCCCACACCTCTGGCTAGATACTTTCTACTAAATCGTATATTATATTTAACCTGCAGCACTGCAGTACTTGACAATGGCTTTGAAGATTAATTTACTGGTTGAATATCATTTCTGCTATAGAAACTGACCATGGTTATTTAAGGAGAGCTTTGGGAATCATGTCTTAACCTAATAGAACTGAGCAAATTTTTTGTTCTGAAAATGAATGTGAACAGATTGTACCTGTAGGGGGCAGTAAAAGCTCTCTGAAATATTATTGCTGACATTTCACTTGGCATACCATGAAACCAGACAGCGATGCCACTGTGGTCCACTCGGAATCCGGCTCGAAGGGGCAACTGCTCTTCCCGGAACCATCGTATGATATCTTCTCTGTTGGACGTGGATGGCATCCTGCGTATAGCTGGCTTCCTGTTGAAACGCACAAGCGTTACGCGTTGGAATGTCACGTTACAGTCCTGTGATTAAAACCACAGCCATGTTTCCAAAAAGATCCATTCAGCCAAATGTCGAAAATGGGCAATTCAGGGATGACAAACAGAACAAATGAAGAGTAAAGCCTGCACATGATTCAGACTTTAAAATGTTCTCTATTAAATATACACTCAGTAACAAAAACTGCTAAACACCCAGAAGTAATGGTACGATTTGGATGGGTATGTAAATGATTCGATTTACAAAGAGCTGGTACGTCTAGTCACCAGACACAGAGGACGCCTCATAGACATGTTAGACAGCATTACCAGCTCTTGACGGAGTTTGATAGGGGTCACATTGTGGTTTTGCATGAAGCTGTGTGGTCGTATCGTGCAATTTCCTGGCAGTGGGGCATGCAGATGTCAGTCACCCGACGTTGGATCCAATGGGCACATGAGGGCACCCACACATGTCGGGAAGGTTCCGGTCACCCAGCACAGACCACACCAAAGGAGGGTCGTCATATTGTGCGTCAAGCATCACAGAACCCCATATCTGCGCCTGCCATCCGGACACAGATATTGGAGACTCTATAACACCCCATGTCATCCCGCACCATGTCTCGACGCCTGGCATCAGCCGGACTACAGGTTCACCGTCCCATATGTAGGCTGCCATTAACACCAATGCAGAGACAGCTGCGTTTGGAGTGGTGCCGTTACCGGGAGGCATGGACTGATGACGAGTGGCATCGTACCATGTTCAGTGATGAATCTTGGTTCTGCATTACCGCGGATGACCTTCGTGTGCGTGTATGGCGACACTGAGGGGAGAGGACCAATCCTGCCAACGTTGTTGAGAGAAGCACTAGTGTTACTCCTGGCATCCTTGTGTGGGGAGCCATAGGGTATGACTTCAGGTCATATCTGGTAGTGTTTTGGGGGACCCTGACGGCACAGCGCTACGTCAGTGACATCCTGCGTCCGCATGTCTTACCCCTCCTAGTACAGCACCCTGGTACAGTCTTTCAACAAGACAACGCCTGTCCACACATGGCACGTGTGTCTATGGACTGCCTGCATCATGTTGAGATCCTCCGGTGGCCAGCCAGGTCCCACAATCTTTCCCCAATCAATGTGTGGGATCAGCTCAGATGTCAAGTCAGACCCAGTGCCAATCTGCAGGATCTCGAGGGCCAGTTACAACAGCTGTGGGCCGACTTGCCGCAGGAGAGGATGCAATGGCTGTAGGACTCCCTTCCGCACCATATCACCATGTGTATCCAGGCCTGGGGGGGGTGGTGGTGCCACACCCTACTGACATGGGACCAGCAGTGTGCCCATACTGCCAACCCTGTAGTCCGTTTGATCTGGTATTATAATTATTGAGATAGTCACACAGATTGATTTAATTTCCACCACTCCGTCTGGCTGCTTAACTTTTTTTGTATTTCAGGTCTTATGTAGGTGTGTGTGTGTCTATTCTAAATGTGTGTCTCCGTGTAGTTATGCCGAACTCCCAAATCTGGGCTACATCCACGAATGATAAGTTCACTAGAATTTATTTACAGCTGATGCTAGAAATAGGAGTGGCCTCACAGCCCCAGGGTTGGGGTTCGAGTCCCACCCCCCACCTCTGTGTGCATGAAGTTTGCATGTTCTCCTTGTGTGGTGGGGGATTCCTTCAGGCACCTCAGTTTCCTTCTGAAGTCCAAAAATGTGGTTGGGGTGTCTAAATCGCCCGTAGTATTTTTCTGATGGTGTGTGTGTGTGAGTGTATGCACTGCATTGTAATGGCCTCCACTGCCCAGTCACTATGACCCTATATACCACAGAGGCTGTTGTGTGTGGAGGGATGAATTTCTTGTTCATAGTTTGAAGTAGTCATATTAGCACTACCCCTGTAATTAGTGCCATCTCTTGGATATATGACCTGTGAAGAAAATTTGTG